ATAAATTTGTAAGAAGCTATTGGCTTGATTCTTGCAGAAGAAACCAAAAAGTAGCAATGGAGATATTAAAACATTTTATCTTTGAGTTCTTGTTCATAGTTGCACTTACAACGCAGGTTTATGCTCAGAGTCAATCAGGTTTCAGTAACTCAATTTTAAGCATTATTTTATTTCTATTCAATAATTATATACATATACTAAGGATTTCTCTGTCTAACCATATTTTTCCCAGGCTTTATTTGACACAACCCGTCCTGAATTTCCTCATCCTGTAGGATCCGGGCGCTCCCACAAGACTCGGATACCCGAGACGTGCCATGTAGAAAAACTGCGAAACCTGTTTAAAGACATACTTTTCTTGAATAACATCATAGTATTTCCTTTTCCAACATCTCAAAAAAAGACATGCATCATCTTTCGTTTTACAAAAGAAAAGAGTTAGGGAAACTTGTGGTATCAGGTTTTCCACTTATACTACACATTCCAAAATATGAAACAAAAGGAAATACATCATGGAAAACATGAGTTCTTGAAACGAAAGTCCAGATTTACAATGCGACATAAATATAAGACCCACATAAAAGATGTCAACGCGTGGCACAACCCTGAGCGGAGGCTCACTGCTCGGCACGATCTCCGGAAGGTCCTGGTGGGGGGAAAAACATTTAAAAAGGGGTGAGCTAAAAATACTCAGTGAGTGGGGAAAAAGGGGGAGGTTTATAAAAGTTCTTAAAAAAAAAGAATAATGCTAACATACAACAATTTTCAAGCAAATCATGGCAACAATGTAACTTTATGAATATGCAATAGAACAACCACCCCGTTCTCGCATACAATATATAATTTATTTCTAATCATCCTGCACTCAGTAAACTGTACTCTGACTTACTTCCTTTAACTGTATCGGATTCTGTATAAAACCTCAACATTTATTATTAAAACTCTCACCACAACTAGTACCCTGGGGGAAATCTGTCATACCTGGTGGGCGTCCCACACGCAGGCAGAGCGAGGGACGTACCTGTCATACCCGGCAAGGTCTATCATCGCGCGGGCAGAGCCTCAAAAACTGTCATACCTGGCGGACCACTCAACGCCCAGGCAGAGCCAATAAAATCTGTCATACGCATGCGCAGAGCCAAAATCTGAAACTGTCATACCCAGCGGAATCCTGCATCGCTCGGGCAGAGCCAAAAATCTGTATCTCTGGGGGATGGGTACTTCGTAGGGTGGTTTTAGCACCACAACATACTCATGCATAATCTCAAGTAACATGGAAGTCAAGAGTATATTACGTATGTGCCTACAGATCATACTATATGACATAATATTCAAAAATCACATATAGGGCTGAAAATGAAAACTGTAAAACATGTTTCAAAACTGACAGTTTAACCCCTTTTTATTTAACCTTAAAAAAAACGAAATTCCAACAACCTTAACCCGTCACTTTCCATGAAATCAACATCTTTAATTATTCAATTCACACATAATTTCCAAGTGATTGAAAGGCAATAACTTAAAAGTAACATGCAAGCTTAAAAACTCAATCTTTAGTAAAGGATTTGGTGCAATTCCCACTCAGTCTTTGATTAGCAAACTATCTCCAATTTAAGCCAGCAGCCCTTTTTTTTAAGAACAGAACACCAAATGCACCTTTATAAACCTATATGTGTACATAAATAAAGAAAAGAGTTAATTATATGATAAAGTCTCATTCTAAATAAATATATATTCCATTCAACAATTTAATAAGCCAACACCAACATTTCCCGTTACCAAAACTCTGCATAATATAATTTTCTCCACCCTTCAACATAAGCCGAACCCAACTCTCTCTACAGTGCCACCACACCCCAAATCAAGCAGCCATCAACATCAATTTTTATGAGACAGCCATATACATATATTTAAATAACATGCAGCATGAAAATTTATTACTTTGGAACAAGATCTAATTCATTATCACCCAAAAATTTGCTCAGCCGAAACATGCAAGATAAGTTTTAGCAAATAAAATACTTAACTCAAGATTTTGCACCCAAAACATTATAATAGAAATAAATAACTTGACATGCAAACCGGAATTAAGTTTTTTAAAAACACTTTTTGGTTAAACCACTCACTCTTCTATCCTATAATTGGCTGCCTATTACAGTGCTTGGATTTCAATCTCCACCGTTCAGAATGTAGAGTTGTGTTTCATGAACAACATCTCCAAAAATCAGAACGATCGAACGGCAGACGAGCTCCAGATCACGATTTGATGATGCACTGTTCACAGACTCAAAAACTAATATATCCTCTCCCTTTCTCTTAGTTCTTTTTTTTTTTTTTCTTCTCTTCCTCTCTCACTCTATCTCTCGGCCGAACCCACTCTTTCTTCTCTTCTCCCCCCTTTTTTTTCTTTCTCCTTTCTCTCCTCTCTTTCTCCTTTCCTTTCTTTCTTCTGCTCTCGTTTTCTTCTTTTTCCTTTGGGCGAACTACCCAGTTTCTTCTTTTAAACAAAAACAGCTTTCTGAAATTATTTCTGCCCCCCAATTTCTCTAAATTTCAGTTTAACCCCGCCACATAAGCTTTCCCTAGCAAAAATGTCCAAATTTTTCCCTCTTGAGACATACAAACCCATCAGGATTTATTTCTTCGATTTCACCCCTTAACACAGCTTTAAAAACTGACAGAAATACCCCTATCTTACCACAATATCAAAAATCAAATTAAAACAAAAGAATTAATTAACTAAATACAATTCATGATCTAACTAAAATCAGGAATGGGGTTTTACATTATTAGCATAGATTGTGGAATATCAGAAAACTCTGTCTATACTGCTAAGGTGACAGACCTAAACTATTCTTCTGTTGCACTTTAAAAACTGAACCTGGCAACATTAAGTTCTGATTAGAGCAAGATTCATGTATGGAAATTATGATGGCCTAGGAACAGTACCAAGCTTTGATCTACTTCTTGAAGCTGATGTGTGGGATTTAGTGCAATTGAAAGATGCAACCACTATTGTTACCAAGGAGATCATTCATATCCCCGAGAAAAATTATGTATATGTCTGTCTTGTAAACACAGGCTCAGGAACACCTTTCATTTCAGCATTAGAATTAAGGCCCGTGACTAATTCAACTTAACAAACTGAATCACGATCCCTACTACTCTCTTGGCGGTGGGATGTTGGTGCAACAGACAAGGGAACATTCAGGTAATTCATTTTATATCATCAAAATTTGGTAATTGAAATATTGGTTTCTTAGAAAAACTGTATAATGCAGGTACAGAGATGACTCTTTTGATCGCATGTGGACGCCCTACAACAAACACAGCTGGGTACCAATAATTAACTCGCGGTCTGTCGATTCCAGTTCAAACAGTTACAGGCCACCATCTACTGTCATGAGGACTGCAGTTATACCAGAAAATAGAAGCAGTCCCCTGCAGTACAGTTGGGAGAGCCCGAATTACACATCCGGATTTTATGCCTAGTTCTATTTTGCTGAAGTTCAAGAGCATCTAGCCAACCAGACTAGAGAACAGATCATCTATTTAAATGGAGATCTCTGGATCAATCCTGATGTTTTCTACTTACAAACAACAACGATTTACAGCAGATCACCCATAGTAACGGAAAATATTGATTTCTCAATCATTAAAACCGGGAATTCAACCCTACCACCAATCCTTAACGCTTTAAAGGTATTTGCAGTAAAGGACTTCCCACAATCGCTAACAGACGAACAGGATGGTATGTTCTTCCAGACAATTACTTTTATCAGTTGCGGATGATATTGTCCAGCTGTTTCTTCATTATTTATTTTTACCTTAGTCCCCCATGTTTAAATTCTTACTGTTTATATATGCGTATGGGCAACTACTAGTCAATGCTATCATGAAAATCAAGTCAATGTATAGAGTGAATACAAGTTGGCAAGGAGATCCATGTAGCCCTAAAAATTATTTGTGGCAAGGTCTTAATTGCAGCTATGATGACTATCGTGCCCCAAGGATCATATCCCTGTGAGTCTTCGCCTTTAAATTAAACTAGCATCCGTTTCAATTTTGTTAACTTTGATCCATGCCACACTTCCATTTTTTAACAAAATTATTTGTCATGCAACCAGGAACTTATCATCAAGTGGAATATCCGGTGAGATATCTCCTTATATATCCAGTCTCGCATTAATACAATATCTGTAAGCATCTCTGTCTTGAATCAACTTGTAAGTACTCAAATTATTGATGATGGGAACCACTCCAAGCTAGTTTAATATTCTCAACCACCATTTCTGGGACTTATCGAATAACAACTTGATTGGACCTGTTGTGAGGTGGCAATTGATTTATGCCCACGTGGAAGTCAAAATAACACTTGGGCAGTCAAAGTTAAAATGCTAAAAGCTAAGGGGCAATCCTGTTATATCCAGGTCTCAATAAACCTAATACAAATTAGGTTTTGTTCATTTTTCTTTCCCTTGAGCTTTCTCTCTTGGTTAACAGAGAGAGAAAGTTTGTTATGAACTGCTGGATACGCTGGAAATCTGAAGAGCGTTGATGGAATCAACGGTGGTAGTAGGTCTTAGCTGGATTATTCTTTCTGTTACACTTTCTGTATAAATCTGTCACTAATATTTGGTTATTGTGTGGGATATATGAGAGGTGAGGAGATCTGGGTTTTTACAGAGGGGTTTTGTGCACTGTGTAAAGGGTGAGCGTATACCTCTGTAAGGTTCTCTATTCTCATAATAAAATCTGCTTATTGCCCTGAAGAGTGGATGTAGGTAATCTGTAAAGATTACTGAACCACTATAAATCATTGTGTCTTTTATTTTCAGTTCATTATCTGTTATTTCTTGTGATTCATCTGCAATTTTGGATGCTGGTTTTGTTGTTTAGTTTTTCGTTAGGTCTCTCTTTTTGCAACAGGACCCGTGCCTGAATTTCTGTCATAGCTACCATTCCTGACGGTGCTGTAAGTTTTCTTCATCACGATTATGATGGATAAGCACAGTTACTCCACTGAAAAGAAAATTGAGTAATGCTATGCTTACTCATAATCTTACTAACCATCTTACAATCTTGGAAAATATAACAGCATAGTACGGGTACCATACGCATAGTACCCATACTATGCCGTTATATTTATCAGGATAGTAAGATGGTTAGTAAGATTGTGAGTAAGCATAGTTTTATTGAAGAAAATTTAGGGATCATCTTTACTATTCTCTTGCAGAAACCTGAATGGAAATAAACTCGAAGGTTTAGTTCCAGCTGTACTCGTGGAAAGAAAGCACAATGGTTTGCTATCACTAAGGTTTAATTTACATTCAAAGCTATAGCTTGATTGCTATGATCAAAATTCTAAAAGAGCAATACCTAAATTTTCTATTCCCGACACCAAAAAATCATCCGTACAGACCATATTCCGTTAAATAATAGATCTATGGACTATTTGTAGCTATCAGCACTAAATATTATTATTCAAGTGTTACCTTGACAGTTCTCATTTTTTCAAGTGCTATATTAATAATTCTCATTTTTCTAGTGTGGACGGAAATCCAGATCTTTGTCCTCAAGCTTCTTGCAAAGACACAGAGAAAAATAAGCTTACTATTCCGGTAGCAGTTGTTCCAATAGTAGCAGTAGTAGTCTCAATATGTATCATCCTAACTGCAATCTCTATTTTGTGGAACTTCAAAACAAGAAGACAAGGTACAAAATTATTAAAATTTTTGGAACATCCACTCAACTCATTTTATTGAATTTTATATTCTTTTCCAGTTGGGACGAAGAATGAATCATTGGACTCGAAAACTCGACGGTATAAATACTCTGATTTAGTGAGATTTACCAATAACTTTGAGAGGGCTATTGGGAAAGGAGGATTTGGAACAGTTTACCATGGATACTTGGATGACACTCAAGTAGCTGTGAAGAAGCTCTCTCAATCATCAGTTCAAGGATATAAGGAATTTAAAGCCGAGGTATTTCAACTAATTTACTTGATAAAACTTTCAACTTCCTCATATATGATTAACTAAGATATGTCTGTTGCTTTACAGATTGAACTTCTCATGAGAGTTCACCATAAAAACTTGACAACACTTGTTGGATACTGTGACGAGTGCACAAATATGGGATTAATCTATGAGTTCATGGCTAATGGAAACTTACAATCCCATCTCATAGGTTGGTTTTGGTCATTCGATAGTATTTTTATGAAGTTTAAGATGCTTATATTGACTTCGGAAAAAAAGTCTTCATACAATTTTTTTATGGATACAGAAAATGATGCAGATACCTTGAGTTGGGAAGGTAGACTCCGAATAGCAACAGAGGCAGCACAAGGTTACAAATACTTTGACTTGCAATATTCTTTTTTCAACATTTTCTACGTGTCTTTTCTATCTAAGAAGTGACCTATTGTGCATTGAATTTAAAATGTAGGATTGGAGTATCTCCACAGTGGTTGTAAGCCACCCATAGTCCACAGAGATGTGAAGTCCTCAAACATCTTATTAAATGAGAAATTCCAGGCCAAATTATCTGACTTTGGTCTTTCCAAAATCTTTTCAGTTGAAAGTGGAACTCATGTGTCCATGATTGTTGCTGGAACCCCTGGATACCTTGACCCGGAGTAAGTTGTAGATGTGACTGTTATAGTATTGTAATGCAGAAACTTCAACCATTATACACGTCTGCAATTTTAGAGGCGTGAAATTCCCTTGTAATATGTCAAATTGCACAATCATTTTATTAAGGAAACATAGTCTTATATAATAGAAATTAACCAAAATTGAGTCTATTTTTTTTTTAACCAACAGGGTCTATATATCAAACAGGTTAACTGAAAAAAGTGATGTGTAAGTTTTGGAGTGGTTCTGTCGGAGGTAATCACAAGCAAACCTGTCATTAAAAATACGCTAGACTCATATAAGTCAGTGGGTGAGTTTCATGCTTTCCAAGGGGGATATTGCAAATATTGTTGATCCAAGACTACATGGAGATTTTGACACCAACTCTGTCTGGAAAGCTGTAGAAATAGCAATGACTTGTGTTTCTCCAACTTCTGCTAAAAGACCAACCATGAATCAGGTGGTGGTGGAACTGAATGACTCTTTAGCAATGGAGGTAGCTCGTAAGAAGTTGGGCAAGGATGCTGAACCAAAAGATTCTGTGTTATCGATGAATTTGAATGTTGATACTGAAGCATCTCTCATGCTAAAGTAGTACTTTCGCAAAAGGTATTGCACTTCACTATGCATAATATTATGTGCATATACAGGTGCCAGGCTTTGGACCAACCTGCTTGTATGCTCGAAGAAAAATAAAGAAATAAGCACTGATGTTCTACTTTGTTTAACATATATTAGCATAAGAAAATAGAGGTGCTGCAGTTTTTGAAGCAGAACAGAGCAGATTACTGTAGTATTTGTTCCACCAATTACCAGTGCTAGTTAGCTTGGAAATGTATTATACATGCAATCAAGGGCCGTTTTTACAACTGTTTTGACGTACATATTCATAACCAGGGCTGCATATATGAAAGTGTACTCAAATTCTGTACACATGAAACAAATAACTATTTATATGTGTTTTTCTTCTCCAAATTCTATATCTCCTACCTAGAAGAAGAAGGAAAGTTCTTAACTCTAATGAAACAATAAGTGTTTTCGAAACATTGCTATTACTAGTTTTTATGATATGATATGACTTCAGGGCGAAAAATTGTTCTAGTTTAAAACAACTAAAATTGAACACAAACAGAGTACTCTCTGCTCACAGCCTGTTAAAATACAAACAGGACAAAGCAAAACAGAACGCATGTGAAAATGAATCACGAAGGCGAACGGGCACCAGCACACTGTGAACCACAACACACTTTTGAATTTCAAGTCATTGAAAATAAATAAATATTTGGTGATGCTTCGCTGTTATGAGTTCTCAGGCTACTCACTTGCAGCCAATTTCTGCAAAAATGTTTCGTTCTGATTTTTCCAGTAAATCGTTCTTGAAAACTAATGAATCAATTACCATGACACGATTATTTTCAATGTGAAAATATATTTGAAGATGGAAGAAAAATTAGATTTCAGAACCATCTTCTGTTGTCTTCCCTGTCTTTCTACAGAGTTTCAGTGCTGTTCCATAAGTACTTTCTCTTTCCTAGTTGACGGTATTGTTTAGCACTCTAGAAAAGAAGCCAATGGTATATTAGACCATATTTTCAACATGTTTACATTATCCCTACTTGATGGGTTTATGGGAATTTTCTCCTCAAGGTTTGAGGAAAGTACTGTACAAGGGTTTCAGATAGTAATAAATCCACCGAAAAATGATTATTTTAACATATAAAGACTATAATACCCTTTGTCTAATTATATACTCTTCAGTTTTTATTTCGTAAATTTTTATTTTATAAATAAAAATTGAAGAAATAAAAAGGGAAAAGAATCTGAAACTTTATTTCAAAAGGACGTTATTATTCTTTATCTTATTATACTTCACTCTCCCATTTTAATTTATTCAATTTTAGTAAGTAATTTAATTAAATTTAAGGTTTATAATTAGACAAAGGTACTATGGTAAAGTAATCAGTTTTCTGGATGCATTTGTTACTATCCGAAAACCCCGGGTGTGTTTTTTGGCTTCCTCAAACCTTGCGGATGAGATTGTTATAACCCCATATTTTGATGAGTGTAGCTGATTACTTAGTACTGCTAAGTGTTAACTTCATTCTCTGAACCATTTTCGTGCACTTGAGAAATGTCATGTTAAAGAAAAACTTGTGATACCATTGTTTGGAAACCATTTCTTGTTTCATTAGAGTTTAGAACTTTTCTTCTTCCTGTAGGTAGGAGACAGAGATATTTGGAGAGGAAAAACACGTATCAATAGTTATTAGCTTCATGTGCATAGAATTTAAGTACATATTAATAGAATTGGGATAACTAGAAATGCTAATTGGTGGAGGAATTGAAGGTCAAACACCAAATAATGCAGTTTTCTTCTCTGTTCTGCTTCAACAACTGCACCAGCTCTATTTCATGCTAATGTATGCTACACAGAGTAAAACATCGCTGCCTTATTTCTTTATGTTTCTTCAAGTACACAAGAACATTGGTCCAAGACCTGTCACATGTACGAAGATATATTTATGCATGGTTAAGTGGGCTACATTTAGGAAAAGTACTACCTTAGTATGGGAGATGATTCAATATCTAGATTCAAACTCATCGATAACATAGAATCTTTTGGTTCAGCATCCTTGTCCATCTTCTTACGAGCTACCTCCATTGCTAAAGACTCATTCAGTTCCACCACTACCTGATTCATGGTTGGCCTTTTGGCAGAAGTTGGAGAAACACATGTCATTGCTACTTCTACAGCTTTCCAGGCAGAGTTTGTCTCAAAATCTCCATGTAGTCTTGGATCAACAATATTTGCAATATCCCCCTTGGAAAGCATGAAACTCACCCAATGACTTATATGAGTCTTCTTAAGCGTATTTTCAACGACAGGTTTGCTTGTTATTATCTCCAAGAGAACCACTCCAAAACTATACACATCACTCTTTTCAGTTAACTTGTTTGATATATAGTATCTGCAAGGGGGGGAAAAATAGACTCAGTTTGGTTTAATTTCCATTTTTTCATGAAACTAGGTTTCCTTCATACTATGATTGTGCAATTTGACATTACAAGTAATTTCAAGCCTCTAAAATTGCAGATGTGTATAATGGTTGAAGTTTCTGCATTAGTTAACATCTACTTACTCAGGGTCAAGATATCCAGGGGTTCCAGCAACAATCGTGGACACATGAGTTCCACTTTCACCAGAAAAAATTCTGGAAAGACCAAAATCAGCTAATTTGGCCTGGAATTTTTCATTTAATAAGATGTTTGTAGACTTCACATCTCTGTGCACTATGGGTGGCTTACAACCACTGTGGAGATACTCCAATCCTACATTTTAAATTCAATGCACAATAGTTCACTTCTTAGATAGAAAAGACAAGTAGAAAATGTTGAAAAGAGAAAATTGCAAATTGAAGTATTTGTAACCTTGCGCTGCCTCTGTTGCTATTCGCAGTCTCCCTTCCCAACTCAACGTATCTACATCATTTTCTGCATCCATAAAAAAAATTGTATGAAGACTTTTTTTCCAAAGTCAATACAAGCATCTTAAACTTCATAAAAATCCTATCGAATGAGCAAAACCAACCTAGGAGATATGATTGTAAGTTTCCATTAGCCATGAACTCATAGACTAATCCCATATTTGTGCACTCATCGCAATATCCAACGAGTGTTGTCAAATTTTTATGGTGAACTCTCATAAGAAGTTCAATCTGTAAAGCAGCTGACATATTTTAGTTGGTCTAATATAAGGAAGTTGAAATTTTCTCAAGTAAATTAGTCTAAATACCTCAGCTTTAAACTGCTTGTATCCTTGAAATGATGATTGAGAGAGCATCTTCACAGCCACTTGAGTGTCATCCAAGTATCCATGGTAAACTGTTCCAAATCCTCCTTTCCCAATAGCCCTCTCAAAGTTATTGGTAAATCTCACTAAATCAGGGTATGTATAGCTTCGAGTTTTCGACTCCAGTGATTCATTCTTCTTTCCAACTAGAAAAGAATACCAAATTCAATAAGCATTGAGTTGGATGCATGTTAAATAACTTTTAATAATTTCACCTATGGTGTTTAATTTGTACCTTGCGTTCTTGTTTTGAAGTTCCAAAAAATAGAAATTGCAGTTAGGATGATACATATTGAAACTACTACTGCAACTATTGGAACAACTGCTACTGGAACAGTAAGCTTATTTTTCTTTCTACCTTTGCAAGAAGCTTCAGGACAAAGATCTGGATTTCCTTCCACACTAGAAAAATGAGAATTATTAAAATATACTTGAAAAAATGAGAATTGTTAATGTAACACTTGAATAATTATACGTAGTGCTGACAACTTCAAATAGTCCATAGATATATTATTTAGCTGAATATGGTCTGTATGGATGATTTTTTGGTGTTGCGAATAGAGAATGCGTGTAATACTCTTTGAGAATTTTGATCATATTGATCTAGCTATAGCTTTGAACATAAATCAAACCTTAGTGATAGAAAACCATCGTGCTTTCTTTCCACGAGTACAGCTGGAATTGAACCTACGAGTTTATTTCCACTCAAGTTTCTGCAAGAGAATAGTAAAGATGATCCCCAATTTATTTATTTATTTATTTATTTATTATTATTTTTTTTAACGAAGTAACTGTGTTTATCCATCATAATACTGATGAAAAAAACTTACAGCACCGTCAGGAATGGTAGCTGTGACAGAAATTCAGGCACTGGTCCAATCAAGTTGTTATTCGATAAGTCCCTGAAACGGTGATTGACAATATTAAGCTGACTTGGTTCCCATCATAAACAATTTTGAGTACTTACAGAGGTTGATTCAAGACAGAGATGCTTACAGAGATTGTATTAATGCGAGACTGGATATATAAGGAGGTATCTCACCCGATATTCCACTGGATGATAAGTTCCTGGTTGCATGACTTATAATTTTGTTAAAAAATGGGAGTGTCGCATTGATCAAATTGAAACTAGGATGCTAGTTTAAAGGCGAAGACTCACAGGGATATGATCCTTGGGGGACTATAATCGTCATAGCTACAATTAAGACCTTCCCAAAAGTAATCTTTAGGGACACATGGATCTCCTTGCCAACTTGTATTCACTCCATACATTGAGTACTTGATTTTCATGACAGCATTGACTAATAGTTTCACATACGCATGTATAAAGAGTAAGAATTGTAACATGGGGAACCAAAGTTAAAATAAATAATGAAGGAAAAACTGGACAATATCATCCCCAACTGATAAAAAAAAGTTATTGACTGGAAGAACATACCATCCTGTTGGTCAGTCAGCAATTGTGGGAATTCCTTTACTGCATATACCTCTAAAGCGTTAAGGATTGGTAGAAGGGTTGAATTTTCAGTTTTGATGATTGAGAAATCGATAATTTTATCTTCTGCGGGTGATATGCAGTATTCCATACTTGTGGATAAGTAGTAAACATAAAGTTTGCTCCAGAAACGTCCATTATAATCGATGGTCTGTTCTCTAGTCTGGTTGGCTAGATTCTGTTGAACTTCAGCAAAGTAGAAGTAGGCATAATATCCGGATGTGGTATTCGAACGCTCCCAACTGAACTG